GCAACTTTCTGCTCTGATGATTTCTCCCTGAGATATCAGCTTCTTGGTCTGGGAGCATATCAAACAATGCTGCTTGCTCAGCCCCTAAGGTGGGCTGAGGTATTGTTTGCTAAAGAGTAAGTTAAGAATCTTCTTAAATTTCCTGGGTGTTAAAATGCAATCTTATCTTTAAGGTGGAATCCTTCCTGCCTTTTATTATGTTGTTTACAGCTGGGTCTGCATGCTAAGTTAGTTGCCCAGTTTGCAAATCACCTCATCAGATCTGAAGGAGGAAATACAGCACGTAGGCCTGGGCCTTTTAGTATGCCAAAGTGAATCTTACATATGATTACAAATGATTAGCAAAATAAAAACATGTGCTACTCTTCTTTATGTGGGAAATATTAATTCATCTTACTGAAGAATGACTCTAGAGCTTAATGTTTAACACAGAATTTTGGTAGGGGGTTTCCTTGCATGTAGTTACATTGCTCTGACTGCAAATATCCTGCTTTGCTTTTTCCAGAGGCCCTCATCCTATTTTGTCTAAGCTCATGGTCCCTGTCTCAATATTTAGGGAAGAAGTACTCTGTGTGTGTGTGTGTGTGTGTGTGTGTGCACGTGTGCATACATGTGTAGGGTGGATGGATGATTCACTCAGTCACTATTCTGGAAATGTAGTTAATAAGTCAAGCCAGATTATTAATTAACTTTACTTTGGTAAGGTCTCTTACCAAAGTAAAGAAATAAAGTACTGTATCAACTGTCATTAATTGCAGTAAGAAATGTTTCTCTATACCTTATGTACTAGCATGCACCAAGAAAAAATATAAAACATGACCTGCATTTGGATATTAAAGAGGTGTCCAAGAATTTATTTCCCTGCAGGGGCTCCATTTTATTTGAGAGTATCAGTTCATTTTTCACAAGTCTTTAGAACTATCTGTTAGTATTAACTAATAGGAATCTGCACATGAATGATCAAACGACTGTTTTAATTCCATTTCAAGTTTTAAGAAACAATTCTTAACAATTTTCACTACCCCATGAGGAAGAGGAAAGGATAATTGATTTTGATCTTAGGGAGGAAAAAAAGACAAAGAAACAAAAGAAAACTATAGGCATTCTTTGAAGTTCATTGTTACACAAAAATACATTTGGCTAAGAAATTTTTTAAAATTCACAAATGAAATATTTCTGTAAGAATTCAGAAGACATAAAGTGTATCAACGTGTAACAATTTCCTTAGATGTGGTGATACTGCGGAAATAATGATGCAAGTGAAGTTTATCTTCCTACTATTCACCTGCCCCCAATCCCTATCCTGCAGCCCTTCCTTCCCCACTTCCCCAAATAGTCTGTCTATGCTGTGAGGGAGAGTGTAGGCCTTTCACAGTATTTGTCTTTAGGATTCATACTTCCTGGATATCTGTATTTTAAAAGGGCCCACATCTCCAACCATCTCTTCCTGAGTAGAAGCTAGGCTCACAGCTTTGAGTTAAGATACACTGGCACTGTGATTAACTAACTGAATAAGGCTGACTGGTTGTCCAGATCAACAATTTCTATCACTTTCTATACTCCTACCCAACCTTTTCATAATCATGGTGGTGGGAGGAATTTTTAAAGAAAGTGTGTAGGGTGAGTGGGGACCCATAGAGGAAAGTCAATACTAAATCCAAATGAGTAAATTTATAAGGGTGGAAATTCAATGAAGCATTCAGATGGGAAGTATGTTTGCATGAGATCTGTCAGTGCTCATTGCGTCACTGTCCAAAAGTTTACTTTTCATTTTCATATAGTTCTGGGCATTCACAATAATGAACTGTCATTGACACTGTTATGATTTTCATACTGCAATTATATCAGAGAAACATTTTTCCTGTGAAAGAAGGTAATTTTTGCTGCATAAGAATGAGGCTTTGCAGAAATTCATAAAGGCAGCTAGGTTGATAGGATGTTCTTTTGAGTTCATGGCAACCTGCTTCCAGTGAAAGGAATGTGGGTCTCCCTGTATCATTGTAAATGTAGAAATACTTTATAAGCAATCAGAAAATCAGGTTCTAGTCCTGGTTCTGGCACTTACTAGCCTTGAGGCTAATCAGGTCACTGAACTTCCTGCAATTCTGTTGTCACGTCCATAAATAGAGATAATAGCTGGCTTTCTTACCTCATGGGCATGTTGTGAAAGAATACATGAAATTATGAACCACACAGTGCTATGCAAGTTATTCTCCAAGTTGCAAGAGTCTTTAGACACCATTTAGAACTACTTATTTTATACATAAGAAAATTGAGGTTCAGAAAGGTTAGATGACTTGACCTAGATCAGTGCTCTTCTCCAGGCTGCACATTATAATCTCCTGGAAAGCTTTTTAAAATACTACGATCCAGTCTCCAACCCATACTATTAAATCAGAAGGTATGGGGCTGGAGTCCACTAAGCACTGGTAATTTTTAAGAGCTCTCCAAATGATTCTAGTGTATAGGCTGAAATTGAAACCATTGCCCCAATCATGTAACTCATCGCGAGTGGAACCAGGAACTAGCTTGGTCTCCTGTCTCCCACCTAGAGATCACTGCTGCATCAAGATGGTGCCTACCAGCTGGGAGAACACAGCAGCAAGAGGCGTTGGAGATGCCCAGTGGGAGTTAGCATCAGGATTCCCTGTACAGCAGCTGAGCTGCTTGGCTAGGAAGTCTGAGTCATCTCTGTCTACTGGCTCTGTCATTCTGTCAAATGCCGGACAGACCTAGTTTTTTGGTGTTTTGTGTCTGACAATCTACCACTCCTAGCCCCACAGCCCACAGCCCTACCATCATTCTCAGAAACTAATCAGTAGAAATATTTAAAATAACCTAAGCATGAAGCTAGAGGGTATTATGCTCAGTGAAATAAGCCATGCGGAGAAAGACAAGTACCAAATGATTTCACTCATATGTGGAGTATAAGAGCAAAGAAAAACTGAAGGAACAAAACAGCAGCAGAATCAAAGAACCCACGAATGGACTAACAGTTACAAGGAAAAAGAAAGGGGGCATTACAATTAGCATGTATAATGTTGGGGGGGTACGGGGTGGGCTCTGCAACACAGAGAAGACAAGTAGTGATTTTACAGCATCCTACTACGCTGATGGACAGTGACTGTGAAGGGGTAAGTGGGGGGGACTTGGTGAAGCGGGGAACCTAGTAAACATAATGTTCTTCATGTAATTGTAGATTAAGGATACCAAAAAAAAAAAATTACCTAAGCAGTAAAAAGCTCCTTTCATCAAGAAATGACTGTGAATTTAGGAGTTACCCCAAGACAAGAGGAGGCAGAGGTTTTTGTGGTAAATTTTAGAAGAGGGTCTTAAATATTGCTAAGAAATTCACTGGGGTACTGTATCTCAGTCTGGGGTAGTTACTGGAAATACATGTATACCCTGTAGAGATTTTTAAGTCTGTTTCCATTTTTGGGATAACTTTTAAAAATCCAAGCCTACTCAGATGATCTGTATGAATATCCTATATCCAAGAATTGCCCTAATTTTAGTGCCCACATTGCCCATATTTTTTGGCTTCACTATCACATAGGTGTTAAACAGTATGACTCTAATTGACATGGCTGACAAGAAAAGACCAGAGGCAATGGGATATGTAAAAGGCATTTAAGTACAGAGTGAGGGCCGATGATGTTGCAGCCAGCTATTCAAATGCAGGAAATGTGGTAGTTTCAATTAAGAAAGTAGGTGGGAGAATCGAGTCATCACTGGGCACACTGTAGCAGAGGCATGTTGAGCTCAAAAGAACCTAAGTTCAGCAATCAGTACCATATTCAAGATGTATGCATAGATTTAGTTTCAGCAAAATGATATAATCTATCATAAATTTAAGATATTTTGTGAAAAGAAGGATTTCCATGAGTAAAATATTAATTACTAACATGCAAAGATGATGATTTTATAAGTCCATGGGAAGGACTGGAAACTGTGAATTGAAAGCAGTTGGCCTGGTAATGCCAGGGGTGCAGAAAAAAACCCAAATGTTAGGGTTAAAAAAGTACAGCGACACTATAAAACAGAGGAAATCCAAAATGTGCTACTGAAAGTGAAGGAACTGTAACAATTGTGGAGGAGCCCCACACAGGCCCAGGTAACAAGACTGCAGGGCTTAGGGGTGCACACTGAGAACAGGAGACAGGAGGAGGGTGGAAGGAGCTGAGTTGGACAGAAGAAGAGAGAGGCAACTACGCCTTCTATTACTGAGGCTTACTGTAATGGCTAGTGGAGGTTGAGGCATTGTGATTCTGTGAAACAATAATGATGGATATCTGATGACTCACTCTTTCTGTGTAAATCATTGCAAGGCTGTTCCCTGAAGTGGCGCCATGGACATCTGGAGGGTGTTGATCATTGAGCCTCAAGGGTTCCAGTCATTTAGTCTTCAAATTGGTGGTTAAACTGGGTTTAGACTCAGAAGACAGAACTGAGGAGGAAGTCTGGGAAGTCTAAATGATAAGAAATATTTCTTTTGGGAGACTAGCAATTCATGGATAAGACTATGCTCGAACATAGAAGTGCACCATATGCACTGCACTTCTGTGGGTCTTAGGGTCGTATCTCCTGTATGCTCATTTCTTTTGTCTGTAGGGGAAGATTTTGCTTCTTTCATCAGATTACTAATAACATTAAATTATCAATATACCAGTGGTCTCAAATTTCCTATGTGGAATCACAAATACCTGAAATCACCTGGGGGATAATAGAGAAAGACTGGGGCATTCAAATTTTGAAGACTAGGTGAGGAATAAGGAAGGTGGATAACCCTCAGTCAGCTGGAAAACCCTGCATGTAGGGAATTCTGGCAAACAGGAGTTGTAGGAGAAAGCATGTAATGTATTGTAGAAGGAACATATGAGGACAAAAACTAGATTGGAGAATTTTTTATTTCCTAAAAAAAAGGTAAAGTTTTATCATTAAAATTTTTTTTACTTTTCTATTGGAATATGAAGTTAAAGATAAACTTAAGAATGACTCACCTTATTCCAAGCATAGTTCCAGGTCACATGACTATCACCTCCTAGAAGATCCTTGAGCCAGGTGACTGGACTTTGATAAATCTGACCATCTTCTACCTTTATTTTACCGCTCAGTAAAATGCTGGCTTTATGGGTAGTCTCCTGAAGTGCAAAATAAAATGAAAATTAAGATAAAAAATAATAGCTGAAATAGTGAACTTTTGCTTCTGTCCATGATGAAGGAACAAGGATCAGATTTATCCTAACACAACAACAAAACAGAAAAATATATAAAACAATGGTTTGTAAAATATCAAATATCAGGCAACAAAGTGCAGTGATGCCCGAAAAGTGAGAAGTTAATGAGGTGAGCCCTTCAACTATGCCAGCACACTGCTTTGAGAGAGTTTCCAGGTCATGGTGGAGGGAGAGCAATCCAGATAAAGCCTGTGGACTCCTTGAGTTGTGGAGACAGAACAGAGTCTAGGGAGGCATGATGACTAGAGTTTGTAGGACACAGTAACTGAAGAAAAGAGAAATACACAGAAAGACAATTCTGTAAATCTTCAGAATTTTAAGTATTCACCTGAGTACTGATTGGCCATGTGTGTGAGGAAATTACCCAAGGCTGGAGGAAAAAAACCCCAAAACACTTGAAAGGATTAGAGATAACAGCACCTGACATTCTCAAAGGGCAAAAATTGGGCCTATTCCCAACAGCATGACTAGGAAAACCTCAAAACTGATGGGGCACTGGTAGAATACACAGAAGAGTCTTGCCTCACGAGTAGAAAACTGAACACTGATCCAATCCTGCCTAACAAATCTAAAAGCAAGACCCAAAAAGATAAAATTGTTTCCAAGAACTTAACTTTATCCTAAAACAAATCTCTAAGATATTAATAAGAATACAAAAAGCCCAGCATCCAACAAGGTAAATTTCACAGTGTGTGGGATCAAATAAAAAATTAATACGCCAGGAAAGAAGTAGGAAATACAACCCATAAGGAGGAAATAAACGAATCAATTGAAAATGAGCACTGGCAAGGATATTAGTATTAGCAGGTAAGGGACATCAAATAGTTATTATAATCACATTCCACATACTCAAAAGTTATGCGAAGACATCAAAGATATAAGAAGACTCAAATCAAACTTCTAGAGATGAAAATCACAATGTGTGAGATGAAAAATACACTGGATGGGATTAAGGACAGATTAGACATTACAAACAAAAAGATTAGTGCATTCAAAGACACAGCAATAGGAACTGCATAAAAATGAAACACTGAGAAAAGAGAGTTAAAAAAAAACTTAACAGGTCACCAGTGAATTATGGAATAACTTCAAATAACCTACTATGTGTGCAATTGGAGTTCAAAGAGGAGGGGAGGGAAGAAAATACAGCTGAAGAAATGACTAAAAAATTTCCAAATTTGAGATTCATATTTGAAACCCAAAAAGATTCAAGCAAACCCTATGCATATGAAACATGAAAAAAAAATCATGCCAATGTTCATCATCATCAAAACTGCTTAGAACTAGAGATAAGGGGAAAATATTAAAAGTCATAAGGAGAAAAAAATACCCATTACTTAGAGAAGAATAAAGTTAAGAATAATAGCATATTTCTTGTTGGAAACAATGCAAGCAAGAAGACAGTGGAGCAACATCTTTAAAATACTTAATGAGGAAAACCATTCCTACCTAGATTTCTAAATCTATCTAAAATAAAATACCTTTCAAAAATGAAGGTGAAATAAAACATTTTCAGATGTTTTCAAAAGGATTCAGTATCACAGACCTCCAGTATAAGAAATGTTAAAGGTCATCTCCAGGCAAAATGAAAATGATAGCAAATGAAAATCATGATCTACAGAAAGGAAAGAAAAGTACAGAAATAGTGGCTACATGGCAATGATATTTTTCCTTATTATTTAAATCTCTTTACAAGATACTTGGCTGCTTAAGCAAAATCAATAATGTGATGTGGAGTCTATAACATGTAAAAGAAAAATATATGATAACACAAAGGTTATAAGGAGAAATGGAAGTATACTACTTTGAGGTTCTTACAGTATACATGAAATGGCATAATATCACTTAAAGGTAGACTGTGAGAAGGTAAAAATATGTTCTATAAACTCTAAAGCCACAACTAAAATAAAAAGAATTATAGCTAATAAACCAACAAAGGAGATAAAGCAGGAAAAAGATGAAAAAGGGAACAAAGAAGAAACTAGAAAAATGGAAAACAAATACCACATAGTAGATTTACACTTGATTATATCAAAAGTCATCCTGAATGTAATTATCCTAGGATCAACTCCTGACATGACACTGTAAGGATCCACTCCCTGGTGAAAATGAGTAAAAAAAACTGTTAAGTTTCTGGAAATGGTTATAAGGGCATTCACCAAATGAAATATCTATTCAACAAAATCTAAGACAATTAGGTTAATAAAAGGTGAAACTCTGTGGTATTTGAACTAATACCGCTTCTTCTGCCCCTCTCCCAGATTGAGTGCGTCAGCGACTCCACTCCAGACTGCTGCAGTCAGAAACATTGCTCCTTCTCCAGGACACCAGTATTTCTCATCCTTCTGTCAGCTATCTGTTGCTAAGGCTAAGTTGTGGATGAGTGCAGCCAAGAACTGTGGGTCCCATTCTTTTGCCTACCCCACACTGGTGAAACAGAAGTTATACCGCTGGCATGGTGCCACTGAGACTACTGGGACCCTGACCACCCCTGAACTAGCTTGTAAGGTGGTGGTTTCATGTCAGGATAGGCAAGCTGAAAAGGCATGAGGTTACCGTGCCCACCTCCACCAAATGCTCAGCTAATAAGTAGGGGTGTCATTCAGAAAGAAGTTGCCATGTCTTTCTCCAAAGCTCCAGAGTCATGACACAGAGATTTTTCCTGGGAAAAGAAGCAAGTCTTAAAATAGCTCCCAATCTCAATCCCAATGGAGAGCTATACCATATCCACAGGTTGGACAACTCAATATTGCTAAGACATCATTTTTCTCAAAATTAATTTATAGATTCAACTCAACCCAATAAAAATAATAGCAACCTTAAAAAAAAAAGAAATGGACAAACTCACTTTAAGATTCATATGGGATTGCAAATTACCTAGAATAGCCAAAACACTTTTGTAAAAGGAGAACATACATAATTTCAAGACTTTTATGGCCACAATAATCAAAACAGTATTGATGGAAAGCTAGATGAACTGATCAAAAAAACAGAATAAGGAGTCCAGAAACAGGCATGTATGTGGACAACTAATTTTCTACAAGGGTGCCAATACTATTTAATAGAGGGTACTTTTTTTAACACATGTTGCGGTAACAACTGGATATACAAATTCAAAAATATGAGTGGGGATCCTATGTTGTACCATATATAAGATTTAATTTAAAATGGATTATAGACCTAAATGTAAACCTAAAACTATAAAAATTCTAGAAGAAAATCTTTGTGACTTTGGGTTATAAAGAATTCTTAGATATGATACTAAAAAGAATAATCAATGCAAGATTAAATTGATAAATCAGACTACACCAAAATTTAAAACTTCTGTTCTTAATAAGACAATATTGAGAGAATGAAAAGACAAGCCACGGACTAGGAGAAACCATTTCCAAAGTATGTTTGATATAGGACTTACATCCAAAGTGTACTTTTTTAAAAACTCTCAAAACTTATTAAGTAAACAAGCAACCAATAAAAAAAGGGCAAACAATTTGAACAGACACTACATCAGGGAATAAATTGGATGGCAAACAGCATATGAAAAGATACTTAACATAGTCATTACAAAATGCAAATTAAAATCACAATAATTACTATACATATGTAAATATTACATACATACACCTACACTATGTGCTAGCATGGCTAAAATTAAAAGGCTTATCACACTAAGCTGGCTAAGTAAAGATGTAGAAGCACTAGATATCTCATACACAGCTGGTGTAATATAAAATGTTACAAACAACTTTGGCAGTTTCTTAAAAATTTAAATACAAATATGAATATAAATATAAATAACACACTTACCATATATAATCCAGCCTCTACACTCTGAGGTACTTACCCAAAAAAATTAAACCCTGTGTCATACCAAAACTTGTACACCAATATTCACAGAAGCTTTATTTGTAATAGTGAACAACTGAAAGCAATCTAAATGTCTATAGTCTATACAGATGAATTGATAAACTGTAGTACAGACATACAAAAGAGTACTACTCAGCAATAAAAAAGGAATGAAGTACTGATACATGCTACAAGGATGAATCTCAAATAATTATGCCCAGAGAAAGAAGCCAGACAAAAATGAATACATATGGTATAATTTCACTTGCACAAAATTCTTAGAGATGCAGACTAACATATAAGGACAGAAGGCAGACTTGTAATTGTCTGAAGATCAGCATGGAAGGATGGGATACAGAGGAGGAGTACAAAAGCACACAAAGAAACTTGCGGGGGTGATGGATATGTTCATTATCTTGTTTGTGGTCATGGTTTCACAGGTATAGACATATCTCAAAATCTGTCAAATTGTATACATTATGTGTAGTGTAGCTCAATGATATCTCAATAAGGCTGTTAAAAATAGCTGAACTATGAAAATTTGTATTAAAATATTATAGCTGATCCAGAGAAGAAACCACAGCTGTCAAAATTTGAGTTAATGTAACTAATTTACCAACTACAATTTGAGTTGCTTTGGCTAATCTGAGGTAGGTACTCCTTAGCAATAAATTGGTGGATAGCCAAGCAAACAGGAGCATCAAGGGATCTGAGATCAAGCTACTAATTCAGTCTTTAAACTATAGTTTGGAGCTTTAAAATTAATTTTTTTTGCTTCTAATTGATATGTACAGCTTATTAACTTGGAAAAGCCTTATTATTCAGAAACAGAAGGGTTAGAAACAGGGGTTATTCAGACTAATTTCCAGTTAGCCTGGATTGGTAGGTACAGAAGCAAAGCATTCCAGGACTCTACAGTCTTTGCCACTCTGAATTCCTCTTTCCAAATGTGAATGTGGACAAAGTGGAGAGGAAGCTTCTTTTGTAGGCATTTCCAGCAAGATGAATTTATACTTATCCCTTATTAGGGGAAGCTTTAGCAGTAACTGATAGTTTCCAAAACTGTGGAAACAAAAACAGCTCCAATTGATTATTTTTATGTTGTTCTTGAATCCTTCCTGGTGCAATATAATTGACTAATTCTGGCCTGAGATCCCAAAGGTGCCTATGACTAAAATATAAAGGGCAATTCTAGGAGCATGATTTCACCTGCTAAGAACACAGTGGTTGTGTCCCTCCATTCAAGACCAGCTAACTCTTACCCCTATTTCTCTAATCAGAGCTAAAATGCCTACCCTATGTAACAGTAACATTAACTCATTTATCAAATTTACATGATTTTAGAGGAAAAAAATAGGATACCTGTGTTTTGAATTCCAGAATATTATTTCCTGGATGAATCCTTCCAAGTAGTATCAGATCCTTTATCTGCATACATTTCTTTTTAGGAGCTGTGCTATAGTTTAAAGGCTTCTGAACAGCACGTTGACAACCAGACCGAGAGGAAGAGGAACCTTGACTGTCATTTGCATGAGCGACAGCAAAAGGTGACTTTTTAAGATATGGTTTCATCTGTTGACCAGTATCACTGCCTAAGACATCAATCCCTTGATGTTCTAGGGATTCTGATGTCCTCCTAGGTGGTTGCTGGGAAGCTGATTTCCTGTTTCCTCTTTTTGGATAACAACTGGAAACAGCCTGAGCACGAGTAGCAATTGATGAATGGGCATCATTTTGGGTGAGTACACTTGTGGTTCCTGAAATATTTAATGTGCTGGTTACTGCTGAAGGACTAGAGGATTCATGGTCTTTGGCTGCAGTTTCTTTAAAATCATTTTCTTTTTGTGAATGTTCTGCTTGAACAATAAAAGCAACAGGTTGGGATGCTAATTTAATCTTCTTGGTGCCATTTGAATGTCTGGATTTTGACAACCCATCCAAGATACAGTCACTGACATCTTGTTTAGAATTTAGCTCATTTCCACAAAACTCTTCCCTTCTCACTGTCTCTGAATTTAGACAGGTGTTGGTGGTTTGGCTGTTATTCGACATTTCCAGAGACAATTGTGTTTCCTGTATGCTTCCACAAACAACGCTGACGGGAGAAAGTGAACCTGACTGGAGCTGTGCTGAATTTTCTAGACTGGTAAGCTCTTGGCTGTCCTTTTCCCTAGAGATTTTTGAGCCAGATGGCAGCTTCCTCAAACTAAGAGCAGACAAAGATGTAACATTCTTATAGTCTTGAATTTTCTGCCTTACTTTTTTCTGTTTTTTCACCACAACTAAAAGGCTTTTCTGTCTTGTGGCCAAGTTAGCCAGTTGTTCTCTCAAGGCTCCTTGCTTAAATGATTCTACAGATACCCTAAAGGGAGAAATAGAAGAAAAAACCCCACAAAAACAGTAGAAAACTTTTTTTAGGCAAGCATTTAGATTTAAAGATACTCTGTTTCAACTTAAATTTAATCAGCTCAAAGTACACAGGAGTCTATTTTTGCAATGTATTTCCTTTGAGAGGAAACTGACCCTTAAGGTAAGTTTGCCTTTTTAAGGAAGTGACAGTGTTATCCAAATATTCATATAATTATTTATCAGTTGTGAGCCAACCCTGAAACAGAGAGAAAACTTGGGTCAATTAGTTAGAAGTTAAGCAACTGAGGCTGAGGAGGAAATACCATTCTTTCAATTTGGAGTTTGCTTACCTGTTTACAGTGGATAGGTGGATCAGGAAGTAAATTTAAGCAACAGTTCCACTAAAGCTCCCTTAGCTATGGAGGAGTGAAATTGTTTTGTGAATTATACCTGAGCTAGACTTGAGAAACCTCAGTTCTTCAAGTAAATAGTGAAACTGTATTTTGAACCTGTATTGAGACACTTTCAAGTCCAGAGGGACCCAGACAAGTATTATTCCATGTGCTTTTCCCAAACAAAATGTCTCAGGGCTTGAGGACTAACTGGGAGGATATGACTGATTCATGCGTTTGTCTCTTGGTTACACCCACCTACTCCACCGTGAGGTCAGGATACGTGTCTCAGTGGTTCTCAAACTTTTTGGTCTCAGGACTTTCTTATACTCCTAAATATTTCTGAGGAACCCAAAGAGCTTTTGTTTATGTGGGTTTTATCCATTAATACTTACTGTTTTGGAAAATTAAACAGAAATTTTTGAAACAAAAATATGGAGCTAGAGGTATTATGCTCAGTGAAATAAGCCAGGCAGAGAAAGACAAGTACCAAACTATTTCCCTCATTTGTGGAGTATAACACAAAGCAAAACTGAAGGAACAAAATAGCAGCAGACTCAGAGACTCCAAGAAGGGACTAGCGGTTATCAAAGGGGAGGGGTGTGGGAAGGGCGGGTGGTGAGGGAGGGAGAAGGGGATTGAGGGGTATCATGATTAGTGTACATGGTGTGTGTGGGGTCACAGGGAAGACAGTGTAGCACAGAGAAGTCATTAGGGACACTGTGGCATCTTACTACACTGATGGGCAGTGACTGCAATGGGGTATGGGGGGTGACTCAATAATAAGGGTGAACCACATTGTTTTTCTTGTGAAACCTTCGTAAGAGTGTATGTCGATACCTTAATAAAAAAATACACAAGCACACATTATATTAGCTATCAGAGTGATAATATCCTCACACATACATATATGGTCTCTAGAAAATTCCACTGTATACTCATGAGAAAATAAAAGTAAGAAAGTCAATAACATTGTAGTATTATTTAAAAAATGGTTTTAATTCATGGACCCCTTGAAATAGTCTCAGGGACCCTCAAGGACCCTCAAGGACCATCCTTTAAGAGCAGCTGCTTCAAGGGAAAGCAGTAGTATAGATAGCTGTCTGTCTTATCACTGTTTAGAGTTGTTGGTACTGAGCTCCAAGCCAACTAGGTGTTAAAGCAAGAAGGAGATGTAAGTGGAGGAAGCAGCAAAAAAATTAGATTTTTGTATACTGAGTAGTATACAACTAGTAGCATAAAATGCAAGAAGATGGACATAGGAGAAAGAAAAATAACAAGTTAGTGTCACATTTAAAACAATGAGAAGCAAAGAGTTTAGACAAAAAGCAAAGTGTTCTTTAAATTATGAGGTTTTAAGTCGTAGAGGAATATTAATAAGGATTTACCATTTGAAACTACAAGTGATCAGGAACTTTCCAAAATTCTAGGTATACTGTTAATCATAGGACATAAAGGAAAATTGAAGCTAGCCTTCTCCCAAGTACCCTAGAAAATATCCTCAAGTCCCCTACAAATATCCTATTGCCAATTACCATCCGTAAATCCTACATGCTCACTTGGTGTATAGTGACAAGAACATAAGAAATAGAAAGGAATTTATAATACGTATTCACTAGAAAGAAGAGCAAAATGGGGATAAAAGATAAGATTTTTAAAATTAAAGTATCATTGATATGCAATCTTACGATGGTTTCAAATACACAACACAGTGGTTCAACATTCACCCAGATTATCAAGTCCTCACCCCCTCCACTGCGGTCACTGTCCATCAATGCAGTAAGATGTCATAGAGTCATTAATTGTATTTTCCATGCTGTACTACAGTCCCCATGACCTACCTATATTGTGACTGCAAATTATTGTGCCCCTTAATCCCCTTCACCCTCTACCCTCTCTATCCTCCCCCACACCTCCCCTTTGGTAAACATTAGTCCTTTCTTGGTGTCTATGAATCCACTGCTATTTTGTTCCTTCTGTTTTGCTTTGTTTATACACTCCGAAAATGAGTGAAATCATTTCATATGTATCTTTCTCCACATGGTTTATTTCACTGAGCATCATACTCTCTATCCATGTTGTGGCAAATGGCAGGATTTCTTTTCTTCTTATGGCTGAACAATATTCCATTGTGTATATGTACCACATCTTCTTTATACATTCATCTATTGATGGAGACTTAGGTTGCTTCCATATAAAATATAAGATTTATAAGTAAAAATAGAAAACTGAGTTTTAAATAGGTTCAGAAAAAAATTGAATATGCAATAGATGTCAGATAACTAGAAGACAGAATTAGAAATTAGAAAGAAAATTAGAAAGATTACATGGGAAAAGTTATCTGCATACCCATGATCACTGCAGCATTACTCAGAATAACCAAGACATGGAGGCCACTGAAGTGTCCATCAGTGGATGAACAAAGAAAATATGGCATATGTATACACACACACACACACACAAAATAGAGTATTTTTCAGCTATAAAAAGAAGGAAATCCTGCCATTTGTGACAACATGGATGGACCTTGTGGGCATTATGCTAAGTGAAATCAGTCAGACACGGAAAGACAACCACTGTACCATCTAATTTTTTAGACTGTGGAATCTAAAAAAAATAAAATGAACTTATAGATACAGAGAACAGACTGGTAGTTGCTAGAGTTGGGGTGGGGGACTAGTAAAATGAGTGGAGGGGGTCAAAAGGTACCAACTTCCAGTTACAAAATAAGTAAGTCATGGGATATAAAGTATAGCATGGTGATTATACTTAACAATACTGTATTAAATATTTGAAAGCTGCTGAGAGTAGATCTTGAAAGATCTCATCATGAGCAAAAAATGGGAGGAGGGCAGTCATATATAGCTAAACCTATGAAAAATGAACAAAAAATAATGCCCAAACAAGAGAAACATATGTAACACCTTTCTCAAAATCTGAGAAGAGGTATATAACCAATATAATTAGAATAAAACTCCTTAAGGACCCTGAGAGTTTAGGAGTACACAAAGCCACAAAAAACATAGAAATAAACTGCTTAGAAGGACATCTGTGATAGCAAAAAAACCATTTTTAGTGTCAAAAATTTGAGTTTACTAAGGGAAGAAATTTATTCTGATGGATTCACCATCAGAAAGGCTTTCATAAAATTCTTGGCTGTTGACAACTTTTTAAGATACTACAGTGTCCTTTTATGGATATTTCAAGTAATAAAGTAGAAGAATATCTTCCTGGGAAGTACAATTCCCCAAAAAAGTAAGAGATTAAACAATCTTGTACATTTATTTGGTACTATGCAACATTTCTAATATTAAATTCTAGGCCTATGTATTATAGCAAAAAATGGATAAATTCTGAAAACTCTAAGCACTTTTGCTTTTTTCACTCACCTGTATTTTTTAGCCAGATCTTCCCTTTCTGCCTTCTGCTTGGCAAGCACATTATCCATCACTTCTTTTATCTCTAACATCTTTTCAATGTATTGTTCTAGAAACATGGTAATAAAATAAAAAGTTAATTGAGACATAACAAATGTTAAATTTGATCACAGAGGACTCAGCCTTACTGTTAATTTTAAAAAGCCATAATTGCCCTACTTTCTTCCCCAATATCAATGGCCCAGATATACAAATCAAAGCTTATTGAATTATGTCACACTATAGAAGTACCCTGAAGTGTACTGTACCAAGAGAGGAGACAGGTCTGAGTTTTAATCCTACTAAATTCACTGACTAAGATCTCTGAACGTGGACAAGTCATATGACCTCTATGGGTAGCTTCCTTTTCTGTTCAATGAGGGTGTGGATAAAATGAGAGTTCCTGTGGCCAGGATTCTCACCTGGCCCTGGGTGACTAGCTCACTGCACACCTGTGGGCAATACATGGCTATTGACTCTATATAAAGAGCTCTGCCCAGAGTGAGCGCTACATGGTGGCAGGGCTGCAAGGCTGCAGGAGAGCAGAGCAGAGGACAGAGGCCCAAAGGATGGCTGTGTGAGATGATTGTGCAGGCAGAGAGGCCCAGAGGATGGCTGTGTGGGATGGCTATACAGGCAGAGAGGCCCAGAGGATGGCTGTGCAGACAGAGGGGCCCAGACGCAGAGACCGGCTTGCTGCATGCAGACTCATTCTGAGTGAATGAATGGGATTCTAGTGACTGACCTGCCACTGTGAGAATAAAGTTGGGTATAACCCTTTCACCCTAAGAATGTTTTGCTGTCAATTTCTTTCATCACATTGAATCCATAGCAAACTTGCCCAGGGCTAAAACCTTGGCAAGACAGAGGGTAATAAAGGAAGATAAATAATACAAAAAGAACTGCATTATCATTGTAAAAATTTTTTCAAACAATATGAACATTTATACAAAAGAAGAGTAATCCTATTCACCCCTCTGCTTCCCCTCTATTCTATGAATGATGCTGTTAATATTTTGGTAGCAGTGTTATGTGTTTGTATGCAAAAATATTTTAATATATTTACTTAACATATTCTATATATTTATACTATATATAACTATTTGATATATGGACTTAAGATAAGAATCATGATATCAGTTCTTGATAGGGCTTAACATTTAGATAGGGCTACATGGCATCTAAGGTCACTTATGCATCTATATAAAATTAATTTTATAATAAAAATACTTAAATTTTTCCTACTTCCACTGCTTCCCAAGTAAATGTATCATGACCCACTCCCTCACAAATTCACAGGATTTACACATAAATGTTGATTATGTCTAAATTCAGATTTCCAAGTAGGAAACTGAAAGGCTTAGCTGAATAGATTTTTGTCTTTTAATTTATTTGCTTTTCTTCATTTGTGTTTTGTTTCTTAAGATTTTTCCTAATTTTTTTAGACCAATGCATATTTTTCTAGATAATCTTAACTAGAGAAAAATCAGTGGTGATAAATGACATAAGTTCACAGTTGAAATTTGTTCCAGAACCTACCTTTGCAAATCAGGCAAATGATTTGATAATTAGCAGTGTTCCCAGAATAGTTTCTGTATCCTTAATATCATGGCTAAAGATTAGTTTCATAATGTGATACATAAGCTAACAAAGGGGGAAAAGTTGTATGATTGTTAAGAATTTAGATATAAACTTGTTTAGCACATTGGACACTGTTTAATAAAAGACATTTACATTATCTCATTACCCTATCACACTGGGCTTTCTAAATGAATTTTAAACTACAGGTAGAAAAAAATTATCATAGGATGTGGATAAAGTGAAAGTTCCTGTGACCAGGATTCTCACCTGGCCCTGGTTGGCTAGCTCACTACACATGTGTGGGCAATACTTGTTGCTGATTCTATATAAAGAGCTCTGCCCAGTGCTCTGGGCAACACTCTGGCACAGCTGCAAGGCTTCAGGGGAGCTGAAACAAGACTTGAGTGGTGGAAGTGCCAGGACAGGCACTGAGATGTCTATGGGGGTAGAGAGGCCCAGACATAGAGACTGGCTGTTCTATGCAGACTCACTCTGAGTGGATGGGATTCTAGTGATTGACCTGACACTGTGGGAATAAAATTGGGTATAATTCTTTCACCCCAAAACATTCTACTGTTATTTCTTTGGTTTCACTGAATCCATAGTGAACTTGTCCGGGGCTGAAACCCATTGGCAAGACATAGGGGATGAGGAAAAAGATGGCAGAGTAGGAAGGCAAGGTGGAAACCACCTCCACCCTCCCCACACACCAAGGAATCAACTACAGCAAATACAACTAAACCTGAAACACCTGAAGACTGCAGAACAGACCACAAAGAGAAGGGTAAAGAGGCAGATTCATGATGGAGCAGGACCCAAGCCCTTCCCCATCCTAGCACAGGCAGGAGGATGAGGAATGGAGTGGGGAGGAGACAGGCACTCAGGAACTCTGAACACCTGGCCCTGGGGATCTGCACTGGGAACATGAATCCACACTGCAGTGGGGCTGGACATCAGGGAGAGTTGGAGCACTCTTGGGGGCTGACACTCCAACCACTTGTGGATGACAGGCACACACTGCCAGTCCCAGTCCAGCTAAACAGAAGTGACACCCAAAACAGAAGTGACAGTTTAAAATATTTGCCAGCAATGGGAAGGGTACCAGAGGGGTGAGGGTTAGACAGAGTTCTATCCCCAGGAGAAAGGACAACACTTCCCCAGCCCTCCACTGGTCAAACAGGACAGGAATTTCCCAAAAGCTTCATCCCATTTGCTGGTGGCTCAGCTCCTGAGGTGCTTCCCTGCACACCACCAACACACCAGCCCACTTGGCCCAGCAGCGTCAACCTTTGCTGCATGACAGGTAAAGGGAGGCTTTCCCAGCTTTTTCAGCCCTATCTCAGCCAATCAGAGAGGCTACTGCAAAAGCCATCTCTGAGAGCTCCTTCCTCCTTGCAGGTGGCCCAGCCTGCTGCTGCATACCAGCCAGGTGACTCACCATTGCCACACACCATGTGTACTACCACCACAAGATGTGTGGCAGCCATGTGCCCACCTGTGCTGCTACCATGCTAATCACCACCACCATGCACACTTGTGCTCTACTGCCAAGCAATTCACCTGTGCACCCTGTGCACCCTGCTGCCTGAGTGCCTGGCCCAGAGCTTCATTACTGCCCTGCCCACCCTGTTAACCACAGCACTGTCATCAATGCAGGGCAGGCAGAGGGTAGCACTGCCAACAACGATCTCAGCAGAAGCACCACTGAGGTAAGCTGCCCTCTATGCATAATGAGATAGACCACTGCTGGCAGACAGAAAGGAGGCCCTGCCCACTGCCCACCAATGGCAACTGGGGATCCATTATAAAGGAGGATCAGGAAATGGAGAGTAAAGAGGTTTGAGTTTCTGGGCACCACAGGATGCCTTCCTCATAAAGTCATTACTCCCCAGACCCAGAAGCATAGTAGATCCATCTAATACAAAGGAAGAAACACAGAAACCCTGACAAAAGGAAGAGGCAGAAGAATATGTTCCAAACAAAACCACAGGAAAGAGGATTAAATGAAATGGAGATTACCAATCTTCTTGATTAATATTTCAAAGTAAATGTCATAAATATTCCCACAGATCTGCAGAAAAGTACTGAGGATCTCAGGGATGAATTCAACAAAGAGATACAAGAGCTGAAAAAGAACCACTCAGAGCTGAACAATACAGTAATTGGAAAGAAATATACAATGGAGGGAATGAACAATAGATTGCTACATGTAGAGGTGACAATAAATGAGATGGAAATTAGCGAACAGGAAAACAATGAGGCTGAGGAAAGAGAGAAAAAAAGAATCTCTAGGAATGGAAGAAGGATAAGGGAGCTGTATATTCATATAATAGGAGTACCAGAAGGAGAAGAGAGAGAGAAAAGGGTAGAAAGTCTCTTCAAGGAAATAATTCCTGAAAACTTCCCCAAACTGAGGAAGGAAATAGACACTCAGTCCTGGAAGACAGAGAGCCCTTAACAAAAGGAACCCTAGGAAGACAACACCAATACATATTATACTTGAAATGACAAAGATTAAAGATAAAGATGGTATTGAAAGAAGCTACAGACAAAAACATTTTTATTTTATTTTATTTTTTTTATGTTGGTACCATTAATATACAACCACATGAGCAACACTGTGGTTACTTGATTCCCCCCATTATCAAGTTCCCACCACATACCCCATTACAGTCACTGTCCATCAGCATAGTAAGATGTCATGGAGTCACTATTTGTCTTCTCTGTGCTATACTACCTTCTCTGTGCCCCAACCACACATTGTGTGTGCTAATTCTAATGCCTCTTATTCCTCTTCTCCCTCTCTTCTCACACACCCTCCCCAGTCCCTTTCCCCTTGGTAGTCCATTCTTGGGTTCTGTGAGTCTGATGCTATTTTGTTCCTTCAGTTTTTGCTTTGTTCTTATGAGTGAAATCATTTGGTACTTGTATTTCTCCACTTGGCTTATTTCACTGAGCATAATACCGTCTAGCTCCATCCATGTCGTTGCAAATGGTAGGATTTGTTTTCTTCTTATGGCTGAATAATATTCCATTGTGTATATGTACCACATCTTCTTTATCCATTCATCTACTGATGGTTGGTTCCATTTTTTGGCTGTTGTAAATAGTGCTGCGATAAACATAGGGGTGCATATGTCTTTTTGAAAGTGGGATCCTGCATTCGTAGGGAAAATTCCTAGGAGTTGAATTCCTGGGTTAAATGGCATTTCTATCTTTAGTTTTTGAGGAACCTCCATACTGCTTTCCACAATGGTTAAACTATTTTACATTCCCACCACAGTGTAGGAGGGTTCCCCTTTCTCCACATCCTTGCCAATATTTGTTGTTCCTAGTCTTTTCTATATTGAGGCAAAAAATTTCTTATAAGGAAAACTCCACCAGGCTATCAGCAGACTTTTCAGCAGAAACCTTACAGGCAAGAAGAAAGTGTCATAAAATATTTAATGCACTGAGACAAAAGGACATTCAACCAAAAATCCTCAACCC